ACGGATTTTTCTCTACGTTAAAATACTTTTATTTGAGAGCTTTACATACGTTATGAGTCTTAAAAAGAGAGCCCTCTTTGTAATATAAAATCGCATTTATTAAATGTCAAATTAAAATAAATTAGTTCAAAGATAAAAGAAAATAAAAATAAAGTGGTTTGATTTGAATTTCGCGCAAAGATACACGAAGGTTATCTGTGCTAGTCGTCCCTAATTTAGCAGTGTTTCAATAGGAAAGGCAGCTCGTCTAATCATCACCACCCACCGCCAACTCTTGGGCTACCTTTTTAACAACGAATAGTGGGATTGACCGTAACATTATAACGCCCCCATAGCGGAAAAGGTGAGCATGTTTTGGTGTGACGGAGATTCGAACCCACGACCCTCAGATTGTGAGTCGAGCGCCCTAACCACTTGGCCATGCCGGGCCAAAAAAAAAAGTAGAGTTTAAGATGTTTTTATTGTGTTTGCTATTAAAAGAGGAATATTTGAATCTCATCTGAAGACAATTATACGAAAATAGAATTGTTACATGCGTGGAATATTCCCTTTCAAGTCCAACTTAAAGATGGCCATATTGTCAGATTGAACTAATCATGTGTCGTTTAAGAGGCATAGAAGCTTCAAACGTTCTGACTTCAAACGATAAGCTACCAACTGAGCAGTTTGAAGTCTGTGAAGCAAAACTTTTTTCAACTTCTGCAGCAGATAAAATGGTGGCATACACAAATGGATGGGAAGCGAAAAGTAATTTTTTTATTGATAATATTTTACATTCTCTATCTACAATTCTTGAAGAACAAGAATGAATGACTTCTCAACAACTGAATTTAGGGTTTTCTTTATTGAAATGATGATTTTAGTCAAAGAAAATTTGACGACACTTGACTCACAGTACCAGTGCTTGAATCTCATAAAAGAAAAGTACCCCAACAAACTATTATATTTGAATAACAGTTACAAATCAACTAAAAAAGCGTACTTCTTATCGCGTCTTTTTTAAATTAATGAAATCTAAAAAGAAAACGCCAAAAACGAAAACACAAAGCAATAAGATGACGAAGTGGAAACTACGTCTAAAATAATGTTTAAAAACTAGCAACATTGAAACCTATGAGCTGATTATACTGTGCTGTAGATATGTGACGCAATGGCGTAAATAATAAAATAATAATAATCCAGTACACTTCGGGTGTAACACAGCAAATATATATATATATATACAATACGGTTTTATTGTTTGCTTCACCAACGTTGTGTATTAGTTCATACGAAATGATAAGATTGTTTACTTATTTATTTGTCCCTTTTAAATACAGTGTTCATCGAGCCTAAATGGAATAATATATATGGAAAATGTTGCACACACACAAAAATTGACAAATATACCACATGTTTCAATCTGTTTTGTGCTCAGACAGCGTGAGATTGCTGCTTCAATATCTCAGAACGAGGCGACGTTGCAATAGCATTATTCTTTAAACATTTTTACATTGTGTAGTCAAATTCTAACATAGTTTTGTGTAAAAAGATTTTATTTATTGTCAAAAACATCCCGCGGTTCGTTCGGCTACGTCTCGAGCGCTGCACAGTATTTACATCTTCTTGAAATTCATTTATCAGTACCTTCAATGCAATGTCAAAGACCATAATCATGTTAAGTAGTACTTTGTGTTATCTACAAATTATTAACAACTTTATAAACACAAATTAAGTAAATTTTTGTTTGTTTTTCGTTACTTAATTTGTGCTTATAAAGCTGTTAATCTTTACAGCATGTCAAAGACCACTTTACATTACACATTAGAAACCGTCGTTTTGTAAAATGACCATTAAACGGTCAGATGTCGGTGTTGGGAGTAAAAGCTGATTGATTTTTGATAACTGCTATTCTTCGAACCTGCCCAAAACGCCATGGAATGAAAATAACATAACTTGATAAGATATCCAGATGTTTATTCTTGACATAGATCTATTATTGAGTTATTTTAAATATCTTGGCTGGTCTGTTCAAAGAATGTTTGTCTTTTTGCTTAATATATTCTACTTATTCGCTTTAAAACCGTCGTTCTAAAGCTGTGGTCCGTGGACCCTTAAATGTTCGTGAGTATCCTAAGGGGAGTTCGTGACGGTAAAGATCGACTTTCCATATCATATTAAATTAAAATAATGTTTTATTTGAAAATTTCATTAACCTACACCGTTATTTATGTCAGTGCCGTTTTGTACTTTGTGGGATGAGATTCTGCAGATCAGAATATGTGAATCTATGAAATTCATTATTTCCATGATAAGTTTGAGAAAAGTTGCTTTAAAAGATGCTCTGTTTAACTTGTTTGTTTTGAATTTCGCGCAAAGCTACACGAGGGCTATCTGCGCTAGCCGTCTCTAATTTAGCAGTGTAAGACCAGAGGGAAAGCAGCTAGTCATCACCACCCACCGCCAACTCTTGGGCTACTCTTTTACCAACGAATAGTGGGATTGACCGTAACTTTATAACGCCACCACGGCTGAAAGGGCGAGCATGTTTGGTGGGACGGGGATGCGAACTCGCGACCCACAGATTGCGAGTCGAGCATCCTAACCACCTGGCCATGCCGGGCCTTTGTTTAACTTTAAAATGATATAATCAGATGGTGGAAAACAATATTAGGAAACCTGATTATGTCTGACTTATTTTTCTTATTATAAGGTCATTCTCATTTACTATGTCTGACTATAATGTATTTGCTTGTTACCATACATTATACCGACTCATACCAGCATAAAGACTCATACGATTATTTTAACAATACTAACTGATACCAAAATATAGATTTGTGAGATTATTTTTACCTCATAGACTGATATCAACATAAGAACTTTTGGGATTATTTTACCATACCGACTGATACCAGCATAAGAACTTGTTGATTATTTTTACCATATCTACATAAAGACTTGTGGGACTATTTTTACCGTACCGACTGATACCAGTATGACAATTGTAGGGCTATTTTTATTATATCGACTAATACCAGCATAAGAACTTGTGGGGCTATTTTACCATACAGACTGATACCAGCATAACGCCTTGTAGGATTATTTTTATTATACTGACTGATACCAGCATTAGGCTTGTGGGATTACTTTTACCACAGTGATTAACACTGGCACAATGACTTTCATCCACATGACTCTAGCAAATAAATTTGTTAGGTTATCTGGATTATACTGCTTGATACCACGATAAAGACTTGTGATGTTATCCCTACTGTCCCATATGACGATATTTTTATGCATAAGAACTTACAGGGATATCCATATTGCACCAATAGATTTAAGCATTAAAATTTGTCGCAGTTATCTATATTAGACTGAATAATACTTGTACAAAGACTTGTGATAGAACCTTATTGTGATAGTTAATGTTAGCATAAACATTTGAATATACCTAAAAACGATAAAGGCTTGCGTACATAATCATACCACCCAACTGATATCAGCATACAATTATTGTTGTTCATGATTTTTATTATTTAGCATACTGCATTGAATTCTAACAATTCTACCTACATCACAAACATGCCGAAACGATATGTACGACTTATTATATGTTATCAGTGTGCTAATCTATTAAAAAATTAATGAATGTAAAAAAATACCACTGTTTATTTAATCACATTCACAAAAATGCTGTACTTGCATGAACTTTTTCTCAGAACTACTTCAGCTCATACAAGGGCACTGAATGTTTAGAAACGACTAATACGAGTGATTCAATGACCCTTAGACAAAGAAAAAGAAAAACCCGTAAGTAAAAACAACTTAGTAATAGTGAAACTCTACCTAAACATTCTATTTAATTCTCCTCCAACACTTCCAGAATATATACATGGTGGCTTATGCAAACTACGTTCTACTGTCGGCTTTCTGTGACGCCCTGGGTGACTGACTAATCAGATGAGCAGAGGTCCCAGAAAACATCAGTTCTATAACATACTACACCCACCAGTGAACTGAAAGACTGTTGTTATACCGCCGGTATGTCCGGAAATACAGATATGTCCGGATTGCTAGTTCCGTTCTGTAGAAGACAAGTTGCGGTGCGAAAGTAAGCCTGCTCTTAATAAATGTTGTGTTCCTCCAGGACGACGCGGAATATTTGCGTCATGTTGAGAAAATGTGCTTACGTGTCAAAGGTTGCCGCCATTACATTTGCCATTGAACAAATAAGAATAGCTGGTATGCTCTTGAACCTGGTTTTCACAATAGTAACTAACTGAATTTCTCTAACCTGAGATCAAGACAAAGTGCTCTGATCTCACGCCGGAAAATGAGATAATACCAATGAAACTAAATGCGAGTTCAACTCCAACCAGGTCAATAACACGATAATAGTGATTGCAAATGGGTTTGAATATAATTTCTGCCATTAGTTGCGTAAGAACTTGTATAAATAGAGTCTTTGTTCGGACATTCTTTTATTCTACTCTTGATGTAGAAAGTGCAAAAACTCGTTTTTTTGGAAGAGGGAGTATTATAATTTCAGTATTGAAACAGAGTAGATATTAATGTAAGTATACTTGAACCTATAACCCTTTCAAAGTAATATGAAATCTTAACTTTTCATCCTATTGTTTAGTTCTTTGTGGGAAACAGTTTCTATATACAATTCTTACAAGTGTTACAACTGAGAGGAGATAATTAAACTTATAATGATTCAATCAGGCTGCAACAATTATAAACCACCAGTACTACAAGCACACTCTTATAGTTCTATATATTTTTGATTTTTTTTTATTTCTTCTTTTTTTTTGCCATCAGTTGGATTATCTTAAATGGACCGTTTACACTCTTTCAATTTAACGCATAAGTAATTAAATTGAAAAGTCCATCTGAAATTAAAATAAATACAGATGGCTGATTATTTTCATTCTGCCACTTTTTTCTTCTATTTACAGCTGCATTTTGTTATGGATACAATATGTATTACTTTCCTGGCTGTGGTCCTTCTGATAATGACCAAAGTTAATCAAACAGTTGGACATGGCAGACTGATTGACCCACCGTCCAGGTCGTCCATGTGGAGATACGGTTTCCCAACTAAACGTAATTTCAATGATAATGAACTTTTTTGTGGAGGCTACCAGGTGGGTGAATAAAACATAATATGTTCAAAATTAAATTACATGCAACAGAACTAATATTTATAAACTCGTTAAAGTTTCTAGAAACCATAATATAACTTTAATGTTCATTCATCATTATGAAAGACACATCCTTCAGTACCAATATAATCCTAGTGTATGAAAGTATCTAAAAGTACCAAAACACACGCATCTGTCTAGGCCTAAAGTTATTTACCAGCATACCGTCAACTCTGGAGAAACGCTTTATTTCATATATATGTATAGTTTTCTGTACCAATCCATATTAAATCCATACTCTTTACATCATGACATTATGACATGTTTGAAATAATATGAAAATGTAATCATCACTATATAAAAAGTACAGTATAGTATGGAACAATGGAGCTTTGTCTACAAAACAACATAGAGAATTTTATCCATTAATAGAAGGAAAGTATTGTAAGCAAACAAAGTTATAGAAATATTAATGGGGTTTTTAAATCCTTTTCAATCCCCAGTAAAGTAACCTAAACTAATTTAGGGGTTTGAATAATGCTAGAGCTTGTGCCTCAATCATTATTCGATATATCTGACCAGGTATTCAATATTTACATATATATGTTACAGCCAATCAAACGAAAACATTAGGCATCTACGTCACAGATCCTCTTTTTGATCTTACCTTTGGTGAGAATGAAAATAATCTGTAACATGTATATGTGATCTATTATAGTTTATCTTCGAGTAATTCATTTTTATGTTTATTAAACTATACAACTATACGCTATAAGATCTTACAGAAGACTTTCTTAATAAATCAAGATTTAATTTTATTTGTTGTATTTTAATACTTTTCTACTAATAATACATCTTCAAAAAGAAGCAGAATACGTGTCCAATATTTCAAACGAACCATTTTCTAAATTCAAATTCTTTAACAACTGGGTTTCACTACTTCCGTATATGCAACCCCAATTCTTCTTTCGGAGCTAACTCTTTCGAGCTATTTGAATTCGATGACTATTCAAGAACCACTGTCTACTGTCGCTATTCTTTTTTTTTGCTAACTTGTAAGCAAAAGCGGTTGTCAATATTGTATCCACAAGCAGAGTTGTCATTTTTCTGTATTTCAGAATTTCTTTGTCAAAATATTTATTTAGCAGTTTTGTCTATAATGATGGGAATATTTTAACTTCATTATTTAAGAGGAGAAAGACGTGACTTGTTAGTCATATGGATCACGAACGAGTGTATGTAAAACATGTTGGGTCGTTTTATTACCTGAATCGTGGCTTATAAAAGCATCTGGCATTGAAAACGATGTGATATTCATGCTATTCATTAAAGAGGTATTTTGGGCTAGCAGTGCTGTAATGCCATGATGTCGATAAACTTCTAAAAAGAGAAAAAAATGTTAAACAGATTCTGCGCTGATGCTTCTAAGCCTAACTACCCGTTTGTTGTTGACTAAGATACTGGTATTTTAATATTTCGATTTTGGCGAAAGTAAACCTGAATATTACACACCTAAGATGTATAAGGTCTAAAAGAATTTGTACTCAAGGAAATGGTACAACAAAATACACAGTCGATGTTCGAATTCCTTGAAATAGTCTGGAAGATTAAACTAGAAATGATAAAGTTCTTGCTGAATTAGGTTGAAGACAGCTGGTACGTAACCGAAAATGTGTGAACAAGAGTTTTCCATGCAAACGACATAAATATATATATTGTATTTAACTAAAGACATGCTATATCATTTCGCAAAATACAAAATATTTCAAGGATGATTTTCATGAGTAATGCATTATCCCGTACCACTGCATGGAATTTGTTATTTTCAACTTGAACAGTACCTTACACAAAACAGGCCAATCGTCCAACGTCTGAGAGCCGAAGATTGAAGCATGGTCTTCCCCTTTTAGGAAATGCTGACGGAGGAAAAGCAACAAAATAATACCTCTCGCCACTTACGCAAGATTGTCTGTCACGGTTATAATGTCCTCACAACTGAAAGTGCAAAGGTTTATCTGTTTATTGTCGCTTGAACCTTAAACGTTGCGATACGCAGCCCGACATACTAACCATTAGGTCACGCTAGCCCTATTACGTTTGTAACAGCTTTGAATCTCAGTTCCTTCGCACTAAATATTTAAACAAACTATACCTGAATCTATATAAATGTGTATGTCCATTTAACTACTTCGCAGGGTCTGGATGGAGCTTCACCAAAATTGGTATGGAGGTTCAATAGGTCCATAGGGAGATGTTTACAAATTTTTAGTTTTGTATTTTGCGATTTTTATGAGTGTTTTTTACCACTACTTCGCCCCCTGTAAATGTATATTCATCAAATTTGGTATAAAGGTTCATTGGGTTCATGGGGATACTTACAAATTTTCAGTTTTGCATTTTGCGTTTTTTACAATTACATATAAGGGAAACAACTTTTCATGTTCTTAGATAACCTTTTATTAATCATGAAATTACATAACTTCCGTCCAGGAGAGGGGTACTCCAACTTGTATTGAATATGTTAAGTTATGGTATGACTTTACATCTTTCTTTTATTCCAAGTCTTACACATAAAAAGGGAGTAAAACAGCCTCTTCACTAAACTTCTGGGAACTGACCGGTGAATTGCATACTTCGAACTTAGCTGGAAATTGTAACACACATGTCAGTTTTCGTTTGAAAGCTGTTCAACAAGTGTTTTAAGGCATGTTTAGACATGTAAAATTGTACTTCGTAAAATTGTAATATACATCTGTGTGTGTGTGTGTTTGTAATATGATCGGTTATGATTAAAACATAGGAAAAGGGAAAAAAGATAGATTCTGTAAAACGTAGTATCTTGGGTTGTATCCATAATTTTGGCTCTGAATTAGAAATAAGGATTGTTTGTTTGTTATGGATTTCGCGCAAAGCTACACGAGGGCTATCTGCGCTAGCCGTCCCTAATTTTGCAGCTAGTCATCACCACCCACCGCCAATTTTTGGGCTACTTTTTTACCAACGAATAGTGGGATTGACTGTCCCATTATAACGCCCCCACGGCTGAAAGGGTGAGCATGTTTGGTGTGACGGGGATTCGAACCCGCGACCCTCAGATTGCAAGTCGAGCGCCCTAACCACCTGGCCATGCCGGGCCTAGAAATAAGGAAATCTGGTAACAGCTAGCACCATATTTATACAAGTAAAAGCAATCGACAATGACTTATATTAATCGTTAAAATTTGAAAAAAGGCATATTCATCTGTCGTACTTTTTATAATTATGTATTCTTTCACCGTTTCCATGAACTCATTATGTACTTTTTTATTATTTATGTTTCATTTCTAATCATACAGTTCATGAACTGACTTTCATTTCTATTAGTAGTTTAAAGATCTGCATTCGTCTCACTTAATTGAAAAATTATTTTACAACATGAAAACAGAAATGCATGATATACTGTGTCGTTTGTAGGCTCAGATTTACTGTGTATCTATAGGTTCTTGTATAGGAATAGCAGACGTTCAAGTTTTTCGCTTTATTTGTTTGTCCCAAACAGAAACAGTATTGTTTGTTTGTTTTTGAATTTCGCGCAAAGCTACACGAGGGCTATCTGCGCTAGCCGTCCCTAATTTAGCAGTGTAAGACTAGAGGGAAGGCAGCTAGTCATCACCACCCACCGCCAACTCTTGGGCTACTCCTTTACTAACGAATAGTGGGATTGACCGTCACATTATAACGCCCCCACGGCTGAAAGGGCGAGCATGTTTGGTGTGATGAGGATTCGAACCCGCGACCCGCAGATTGCGAGTCGATCGCCCTAACCACCTGGCCATGCCGGGCCTAGAAACAGTAAAATCATTAAATTGTCCTCAATGTGAGTTTGATATATTTGTCATTATACAGAGCTGTTTTTTTTTTAATTGTACTTGAAGAATCACCTCACGATGACAAGTACACGGTACTGTGTTCACTCCATCTTTGCTAGGTTTTCTTGACCTAACCTGTCATTTGGCAGACGCAGAAATCTGAATATCTGGTCAGCCGCGAAAAGTGGGAAAAAAGCAACATTTTTCTTTTGAGTAGGTTTAAAACAACTTAAGCGTGGTTTTATTTATTATTATTATTTACAACATAAACTTTTTATAAGTTTTGTTTGTTTGTAGTTTTAAAACACAATGCAATAAACATCAGATTATTTAGCAAAGTATTGTTTGAAGTTAAGCATAAAGCTGTACAATGGGCTATCTGTGCTCTGCCCACCACGGATATCAAAACCCGGTTTCTAGCGTTGTAAGTCTGCATACATATCGCTGTGCTACTAGGGCACTAGGCAGTGTAAAAGTGTGTTATTGTAATTTAAACTGTTTCAGGGCTGTTACGGTATCACTCCGTAAGGTGATAAAATGTCCTAGTTTTTCACTCTGAAAATCTGGTAGCCCTGTTCTTGCATCATTAAAATAAACTTATAATTCATATTAAAATGCATTGGAAAACCAGAAATTAGGTTTTTATATTAAATATGATGAAAGAATCTGAAAATTATATTCAGTGGTATCTAAATTATAGCTAATGCGCAATCATAAAACCTAAAGTACTGTAATTAAAAGCGTTATATTTCATATATTAAACTTGCATTTAGAGGGCCAACTCATGAGAAAATGAGAAAACTTTAAGATGGTAAAACAGTAACAAGAAAATAAATATTCTTAAAATAAAAGGAGCTGTAAAGTAAAGGCTTCAGAATGTTTGCTTTAATGAACACTATAATTATTTGAATTTCGTGAATGATTTTGTACTTTAGGTTCAGTGGATGCTTAACGGAGGAAAGTGTGGAATATGTGGAGATGCATGGGATGTACCGCGTCCTCGACCAAATGAGGCGGGTGGTATTTATGGAAATGGAATAATCGTGAGAAAATACCGAAATGGACAAGTAAGGCTTTTATTAAATATTTTGAAATATTGTTTTACACTATATTTACATACTTTACATCAAATCCATTGACCCATTATCTGACGAGCACAAGTAAAGCCACTATAAAATCAAGAAAGAAATTATATCATTGGTCTAACACGAAATATCATCTCTCTTTATTGACGGCGCTACAGGGGGAAAGGGGGGTATTTGCCCACCCAAATGTTTTTCTTACCTCATTCCAATTTGCCCCCCCCCCACACAATTTAATCCTTCATATTTAGAGCAAATTTAATATGTGTAACAAGAAAACACGTTTACACCCACACTACTTTTTTTCTTTTCTTGTATCTTAGAAGTCAATCAGATACATCGTACAATAGTAGGTGTTCATTTTAACCCTACTTTTTTTATACTAATGATACTATGAACTAAATAATTATTTATCTAATTAAATAATGCTCGAAAGAACATTATTTATCAATCTACTTTTAAAGGGACTTGTTATTCCGCCCCCACCCCCCAAAAAAATTGCTAGATATGCTAGAATGGTCAAATAACTTTTGATCCTTTCCAAGATCTGTGACTACTTTGGGGCTTCCAAACTCAATACAAAGTACTTTTGGAAACCCAATGTTGGCTGAATGTAACTTAGCTCGCTAAAATTTGGGAGAAATAATATGTCCCTTTAAAATTACACGTGAATATAAGATGTCTTGTTTTGTCTCCCAAAATTTTGGCTTTAGGTTCTTATCCTTGTGTGATTGAATGACGAGTTATTGAGGGCAGCTCATCCATCAGCTCTGCACAATCCCAGATTCTTTGGTGATCCATGGTCACTTTAGTAATATACCTTCTATCACAGAATGGCTTGTGGTTCCTCTATGGATCGCCGTCTTCACCAGTTATTGCTTGCTATCTCACCAGTAACACTTCCAGTATCTCTCTGCTGGCCTCAGGTAACACCTACTAGAGCCAGAGTTGAGCTACTCTGGTCAGTGAATGCCTAGAAGTCGTGCAAAGAATTACCTACTTGATTTAAGATTTAGCAGGCTACTCATCACCCCTCATCAGTCATCTGTGCATTCTGCGCGCTGAGTTTGAACATCAAGCACCAGATATTGGTAGATTTGTTTCCATATCACGCAGTCGCAATGAGAAAGAATTCCTGGACCTTTGCAGCATATGCAAAATCCGACATTCAGGAGAGAACTTCTCCAAGACCTGGCCCCCTTCTAGGTCAGCTGCTTACCCTCAATACCTAATTCTACCTTGTAAATCCCTTGACTCAAGAAAAGTACTCTTTTCTCAAGTTTGAAGCAGTTAATAGTGCAAAATTTTAGAATATAATACGGAAATATACTTATCAGAAGAAAAACAAAAACTCCGCAACAACAAATACTGTGATCATGACTCTTAAACTTTCTACTTCCTATTTACTCTGTGATATTTTCAGGTGCACTGTTTCCCTTTCAGATTTATTGGGTGGAATAAAATATTTAGCAGAAGGTTCAACAGAAAATAGTTTGTAGGAGTAATTCATAATTACTTGAATTTAGCTGAACTGTGGAAAAAAGGAGACTGAACACAGTTTAAAGTAATGTGAAAAGTATCTTTATTTAAGACACAAAACAGTCACATTTACGAGTGTCAATTAACGACAGTGTCTTTATTGGAGACTGAGATTTCTCAAATATTTCTGTTTGAAGTCACTAGAAAGCTAGAATCTGTCTCTATTTGAGAAAACACAGCATTATAAACATAGAACAATAATGCCGGAGACTGAGAATCCTAAAAAAAAAGATCTGTCTGAAGTTAATAAAAATCTAGAATTCATACCAGGCTGAGAAAACATAGCATTATAAACACAGGACAAAAATGTTATTCTTCCCATGACGCGTGCTACCTGCATCAATGTTGATTGTATCCTTAAGGCATCATCTGACCTGCCAGTGAAAAATACTGTTGTTGTTTTTCCATATATTATATTCAATTTTACAGAACAATAAGTAACTTCAGAGATGAAAATTAGCTATTTCCTTGACCATTGCTGTTAAAATTACATATGCTTACATGCACAAAATGTTACGTTAGTGTGACCAAAAATTTTGGTTCAGGAATGCATCTTCTATTTTTTTTAACCTTTAAAATAATGAGAAAAGCGTTTTCGATTTACGTTATTCCGTTATACGTTATGTTCTCCAAGAACGTATCCCTTTCGTAAATCGAGAAGTACCTGTATTTGGATCAAGTCGGTCAGATGAAATGGGACAGAACGTGGGTAAAACTAGTCATCATTCTGAAGTTCTCAAACCTGTTATCAACACTATCAGAACTTAGTCTAACCAAGAAGACATAATATTATAATTTATTTTTACAATTTCAGTCTATTGTCTAAACACCAATTTCTTATACGTTTTCAAAAACTTGCAATATTTAAATACAGTTATCACTAATTATAAGTTTGGTAACAACTTCAGAAACAGTGTGCAATCAGACGATCCTAGCTAGACTCCTACTGGTTGCTCATTCCTTAATAAGATCCATTGATAGTCAGGAGAATTAGGCGTAACGAGGGCATATTAAGTAGTGAATTTCAAATTTAGTGCTCTAGTCAGCTATAGTCTCAGTTTCAAATCACAGTGTTTATTAAAATAATTAAAGCGGAATTTGTTTTACTTGTTTTAAAACCACTTTATTAAGGGAACTCCATAAATATAACGAAATAAGTTTACATTATACTAGTTACTTTCACACACACACACACACACACACATGTATACCGTGAATTTAATTACCTCTTTGATTAGTCACTAACTAGATTAAAATTGAATCTAACAACAGCTTTAGATAAACATGACTATCATTAGTGAGTATATTTTTTGTCCACATTTTAAAATATTATGACTAGGGGGAGGGTTCAAGCCCTTTCTTTTGTAACACGAATGCTGTGGAAGTACACACGTGCTTCTATTCAGGCTAAGTCAGTCAGTGAAGCTTTACTCTTGAAATGTTCTCCCTTACGAATTATCCTGTTAAGGGGCGAGGGGGGATTGATATACATTTTCATCTCTGCATATTTTTGAACCATCAGAACCATTTGAACCATTTTTTGCTAGGTTCTCTTTTTTACGTAAGCGCAAAGACCCTTTGTGTTGGAACAAAATAGGACACATAATGGCTGGAGACGGCTTAAATGGGTAAT